TGGACTGCCTGTTGGCTCCGTGCTTCCTGCTGTCACCGTGCTCTCTGAGGCTGACCCTTCGCCCACTGGCTCGTGCAGTGCGCTGCTGCCAGTCCTGGTGTGCATCCCAAGCAGGGGAACGAGGTGCCTGGGAGCACTGAAATATGCACTGAAGGAGATACGGAAGGGGAAATGTTGCTGTGTGTCAGTAGAGGAGGATGAAGCGATTGATTTCCCACTTTTGCAGCTTTCTTAAATAGAAAACAAATACAGGCAGCACCCTCCCTCCATTAAGTCTTCGGGAGAAAAATTCATCTTCCAAACTGCACTTGCTGAGCAGCAGCTGCCACGTCGCGTTTCCTTGACCTTTGTGTCTGTTCCACCTGGACTTCGCTGTGCACACTTTGTTCTCTTTTCTCCCAAGCTGTGGGTGATGGAACCCCCAGCCCTACTTTTCTGACATCAGAGCCTTCTGCACAAGTTCCTTTGGCAGCTGCCTGGAGCCTTGTTGAGCCAGAGCCAGACCCACCAGCTGCCATACCCGTGGTGCACTGCTTCCTCTGGCTGTGCGTGCAGGGAAATCCTGCAGTCATTTTCGCATTTCTGCTCTCTGCTCACTCCTGGGCAATCTGTAAGGTTCTCACTTGCCTCAGGACCTTAATCAGATACAGTCCCTGATCACAGGAGACTTCTGACAAGGTTCATCTTTGAAGACCAGCTTTTGCAAGGCAAAACAGATAATGCAAAAGAAGCCAGCAGGAACACAAGTTACACTTGTGCAGAATGTGATCTGATCTCAGGAGCTGGGTATTCTGACATTAACTGGTGGTCTTTGTTGCTTGCACTCAGCTTGGATGTGGCAAGAGAAATCTACCTCTTCCATTCAGTTTTTTTCACAATGGATACTCACTCTCTGCGATCATAGAATCACAAGGTTGGAAACAACTTATAAGATCATGTAGTCCAACCGTCTCCTCATCACCATTGCCACCACAACCCTGAATTCCAGTATCTGGAGTCTGTGCTGCTCTAAGGACTGCTGAGCTCAGGCACTGACCCGATGAGTTGGTCGTGCTCCCAGCATTGCTGTGTCTGTGCCCACAGCAGTGGGCAGCCATGTGCTGCTGCGTCTGCTTTGGGACCTCAGGCATCTTCTGTACTGGGGATGTCTTTGGGATCTTAAACAGTGCTGTGGGAAGTACTGTGGGGAAGAGGGAGGAGGAAAAAAAGGGAAAAGAAAAGCAATTTCTTACAGAGATCCAAGTGTTCAGTACTTGGTGTCCCGTACTTTTGTTTTTTGAATGTGGTGTGATTGCACATCAACTTTTCTGTAAAATCTCTGTCTTTTGATATATCAGTAAAACCAAAGGAGGTAATGAGCTCTGCTGCGGCATCCCCAGAAGGCTGTTAAATTGGAGAAGCTGTGTGGTGGTTCTCAGGTGGGAGCAGGTCTAGGCAGGTCTGCACACAGAAGGGAGATGCAGTGGATGGCGCTTACATAAAAGCAGCGCCAAGGAGATGCGGGGCTGTGGTGCATGAGACGCCGAGGGCTGACCTGTAACTCTGTCGTGGCTCAAAGGCTGGGTGCCCCTTCTTGTGTTCTGATGGTTACTGAGCAATTCTCAGATGACATAAGAGTCTGAACAACTTTATTATTGTGTTGCTTTACTGTAAAACTCGTTACTATCACATTGGCAGTACAAGCTGTGGGCTTACTTTTTAAGCAGATTAGCCACCCAGATAATGGGAATCACTTTTTCTTTTTTGAAAAAGAAAAAATGGTGGAATTCTGAGAGCTTGCAGCACTGGTGTGATACCTGGTGTGCCATGCTTCCGTGTACAGGAGGTGCTGAGTCCTGGAAATGCCTTGGGAGCCTCCAGCACCTCCTTTCCTATGGAGGTCTGATGCAGCACCTGCTTGGTGGCTGCCATTGAAAGGCAGGGAGCTAAGAACTCACTTTCAGAAAGCTTGTTTCTTTCTCCGTCCTTATGCTGCGCTGCACTCCCTCCAGCTGCGCTGTGGCTGATGATCCCTTCTGGGACCAGAAGTCAGTTTGAGAGCCTGCAGTCTTCACATGCAACCTGCTGGCCCTGCTTGCTCATGAGCAGTCATACGGGGAGTATCTTGGCTGCTGGACTTGGCTTCCCAGCTCTTATTCACAATGCAAATCTTCTTTCTGTATTCCAAGTGAACTGAAGTATGCTGTGTATCACGGGAGCTTTCTCAAAACTGGGTCACAGAAGTGCTGGTGGAGGGGTTGGTATTGGTGCTGGGCAGTCGGGACGTGTGTAAAGTGCAAAATTTGTACTGAGATGTTCATGAATGAGCTTACGGTCCCTCTGATTCAAAATCTGGAGGGCTAAATTGTAGGTGTCTTTGGCAGTGGCTTTCTTTTATTTTATAGGAGCAAGTAAAATAGTAAGTAAAAAGAACTATACGCTAGTCTTTGTGCACCCGAATAAGATGCACCTCCTACAAAACTTGTCTTCCTGGTGCCCCATGGTTCCCCTTCTGGAACCCAACAACCTGTGAAATGTTTAGAACGAGTGTCAGTAGTTTTCATGGGAAGCCAGAGCCTGGGAGCCTGCCGTGGGCTCATCTGTCCAAACAAGTCCAAGGCCAGCTGCCAGCCTTCCCACTTCTGGGCTGTGGGGGCTCCTCGTCTGGACTGTGGACGAGCCAAGCAAATGCGAACTTGGCTGTGGAAAGAAAAAGCCTCAGTGCTGCATCTCGACGATGATGGGCTGTGTGTGCCAGGTCAGGATGGTGCAGCTTTGCTCTGTGCTGTGTAACTGCTGTCATACCTCAGCAGCACTGGGGCACGGGTGTCAGCACCTTTCTGAGTTAAGTTGGGGGAAATTCAGATTTGGAAAAATAGCAGCTGTTCTGAGTGTGCCTTAAGTGTGACGGGAGTGAGACAGATTCCCAGGTGGCACCGAGGAGCCCTGCGGAGCCCCCCGGCAGCCCTGGTGCTGCTCTGCTGCTGGCTGCTTGCTGTGGGGCTGCTCTGAGCTCACCTCTGCTTGAACGAGAGAGAAAGTAGCACTGTGCTGTTTTTTTGAGCCTCAAAATTAGAGAGACTGAAATGCTGAGGTGTTTTTACTTCTGTCTGGAGGCAGGGATCTAAAAACTGTCAGACTGTTGGAATTTAGGGGGCTTCCCCTGAAAGCAGATCAACGAGATGTCCTCTCCCCCCAGTCAGCGACCATTTCCCCACAGCAGACCTTGGGAACCGGCTGCTCGCTGCCGTCCTGAGAGGCTGCAGCACAACAGGTGACTCGGGCTCCTCGGGAACCTCCAGCACAGCCCTTGCTTGAGGAGCACCCCTGCCCTCCCATAGGCACAGGCTGCGGGTGTGTGGCTGCGTGCTGGCAGGGCGCACGGCGTTCATGGGGGCGCTGCGCTCCGAGCAGTAAAACGTGCTTTTCTGCAGGCGGTCGCGAAGGTGGGGAGTGTTTTAACAGCTAAGAATTTGGTATGTTCCCTTTAACTAAAGTAGCGAAATTAATCCTCTTAAACACTGTGTGTGGGGGGAGGGAGAGAAATTAATTCCTGAATAGTACTTAATCCTGAGGAGAAGGCAGTATTTGAGAGAATGCTGATCTGTAGAGCAGTGCAGAACCAATTGGAAGCTGGCTGGGGATTAGTTCAGTTTCCAGTTGTAAATGAGCGTTGCGTTAAAGAAAGCACTACTGTGCCTAGTGGAGGAGATGCAATGAGCTGAAATTGCTGAGCGATGCATCCAGCTGTGTGGCAGAGACAGGGAGTCCTAAGACACATGTAATTATATGCAATAATCTAAAGACAACTTTGAAAAAATCAAGCTCTATGGAGCAACCTGTGCAAGTGTATTATGCTGTAAATAGACAGTCTAAAACCAGCAATTGAGTGGTGATCATAGCATCTGGTATACGAGGTGAGCATCAGACTGGTAAGAGAGCCAGAGAAGGGTAGTTTGCAATAGGGCCTGGTGCATCTCAGCAACGCGCTGGGCTCTCTGGGACACGTGGGCACGGTGCTGGGTCCCTGTGGTGTAACCAGGTGGGAGCGCTGCTCTGAGCGCGCTGTGATGGATGGGGCAAGGGTGTGGGGGGGCACACTGAACAGTAGGGGTGGCAGTGGGGCTACAGTGAGCAGCAGGGCCAATGGAAGGGAGCAAGTGGTGGTGTTTTGCTGCGGCTGCTTCTGCAGCACCACGTCACCTGAGCAGTTGCCCTTTGCAGTCCTGGGGCCTCTGCTGGCCCAGCCTTGGCGGCTGCTCAGGGACTGAGGTGCTGCAGAGCCACAGTGCCCTCTGCTACTAACTTCTCTCTGGGTGTGGAGAGGAAGGGTGAGGAAATGGGTAGGCGGCAGGAAGGTAGTTGTGTTAGAGGTGGGCAGGGACAGGGAGCCTGGCCTCCTTCCTCTGCCAAGTGCGGTTTCTCCTCCTCTCCCTGTGCCCTGCCAGCCAGCCTGGCGCCGGGGTGAGATCTTCTGTGTTTTGCTCCAAATAAGCCGTAATTGTTAGAAGCAGCTGTAGCCACTGAGCTGAGAAGTGTTAATAAGAAATGTTGTTTTTTCGTTTGTTTTTTGTGGAGCAGATAAAATTATTCCATAGCTTGTTCTGAAGTGACGTGAAGGTACGCTAGTTCTTAGATAACCACTTGTATTACGTGGCGTGGATGTGACTGATCGACCAAGTCAGAAAAGCCTCTGCTCTTGTTACCTGCGCAGCACCAGCAGCAGTGCAGGGCTACAAGCTGATCAGTGTTAGCATCATTGATGCAGCAGCTGAGAACGATGTGGTTGCAGCTGTGAAGTCCTTAGTGATCTGAAGCGATACACATCGCTGCGGTTTGAGGGCAGCGGCACTGTTGCCAGGCAGCACATCTCAAACACTGCTGGGCTTCCCCAGCTTTGGTTACTGACAGGGTGTCAATGAGAAGGGGAGCAGTTTGGGGAGAGACCCGCGTCATCAGCTGGCAGTTCGAGGGGTGGCTTTCCACCTGCCGTGGGTAAGGAGCGAGCATAACTATGGAAATCCAGCCTGCCCTTTTTATTAAGTATTACAGCACCACCATCCTTCAGTTTTCTACAGCACCAGTAAAACAAATTTCTTAATTTCTTTGTGGATATGCAAAGACTCAGAGTGCAAAGCTACAGAATCAAGATTCGATGGCCAAGGTTCCTGCGTCCAGTTCAGTTCTTGGGTTCATATGAATTGTTCTCTGAAGTGTGTTTACTTTCCCGCGTAGCATTTTTGCTAGGAATGGTTTGCACAAGAACACGGATATCAAAGGATCCATGCAGGTGTTTGTGGCAGCCAGCCAAAGAGTGCTCTCCTTAGCAACAAAAAGCTGGTTCTGCAGGCAGCAGTCCATCTGGGTTGTCATTTGACTCAGGGTGTAGGGAATGGAAGGGGGCAAAGCAGAAGAAGAACATGGTGAAAATGATGAAGACTTTCCCCTCGACCCTTTGTTTCTTTTTGCTTGCTTTCTTCCATGTTTTCAAGTAAGACTTGTACACTTTTTTGGCAATAATTACATAGAATAGAAGCTTAAGAATGAGACAAACTGGCAGATGTAACCAACAGCTTGAGTCCAGGGTAGCTCTTCAGTGAAGCATGCTTCTTCACCGACTGTGGCGTTGCTTTCTTGTTCAATAGGATCAAGTTTGGCACAGAGAGAACCAGGAAAAAGAGCCAGACCAGACCCATGAGGATCTTTGCTGAACTCACTTTCTGCACCCAGAACTTCCCGAAAGGTGTCATGATCTTGAGAAACCTATCAGAAGCAATGAGACTCAGGAGCACTGTGCTAATATAAATGGTGTCATAGAATATTATGGCTGAAAAGCAAAGATGAAGGCCTTCAGTTGCCATGGTCCCAGGCCAGAGTCTGTTAGGATTCTCAGGGGAAGCATCAGAGTCATTGTAAAATCAGACACTAAGTTATTTTTCAGGTAGACAGTGAAAGTCGATGTACTCGGAGTATGGAAGAAAGCCCATATGGGCAGGCTGCTCAGTGTGAGTCCAGCAGGCAGCCGAGCGTGCAGAGCGCTGGGCAGAGCCGGTGGGTGGCTGCGCTGTCATGGTGCAGAGCAGGGCGCTCTGCTGGAGTCACTGCTGGTACTCTGGTTTGCAAAGTCTCCCATTTCTCAAAGTAGACTCGGATAAAAAGGGGAGAGACAATGTAAAGTATGACTGTTTGTATTCAGGATGACACATTCCTCGTTATTATTATTAGCAGGTTTATACAAATGCACAAAAATCTGTCAAATGTGCATTAAACTCAACAACATTGTATGTAAAATTCTGTCAAGGGTTGTTTGCAGAGTAGTGAAGAGTTGAAAGGTTATAGCAGTGGAATGCCCGGAGAACCGTTTGTCTTCACATGGAAATGTATTCCAGTATGGAGTAGAGATTTTGTGGTTGTGGTTAAAAAGCCCCCCAGGTGCCTCTGGGAAAGTGAATTCTGGTATTTCTCACCCAGCACGCACCATTCTTCCTTTATCAGCACAGGTTTTAACATTTTTGAGAATAAGGTGCATGCTGCTGGCTGTCAGCCTCACGTCTGCAAACGAGACAGCCAGGAGCTCCACCGCGCCACGGGGACGCTGCGGGAGAGCAAGCACCTGAGCACAGCTGGCAGCAGCTGTTTCAAAGAGGGTCTCTGATTATCTGGTTCCTCTGCAGACAGGAGCCTGGAGCAAAGTTATAACAGCGAGGAAACGTGTAGAAAGAAGAGACTTTTTCTGCTGGCAGTGGTGTGTCGTTTCCTTCCTGATTTTCATTTATCACCCGAGTTACTTAATCATGTTTTTTGTTGCCTTTCCGTCTTCCTTTTGTTCTCTGTCAGGAAGAACCACTTTCTCTGCTGACAAAGGAAAAATGACTGCATCTGTGAAGACACTGTGCTGTAGGTGCCTGTGCAGATGTCAACGTTGATGTTGGGCAGAGAGGGCAGAGCCCCCAGAGAGGCAGAGGTGAAGGTGGCCTTTCTCACTGCCATCATCCTCGTGTGTCCATAGCTGCCTGCCCTGACTTCTGGTCGTGCACCAGGACTGCATAAAGCTGAGGTGGTTCATTGCGTAGTGCTGATTTCCAAGGCAGCGTCATCATGTTTTCTCCTATATCTTGTCACTGCTCCCAACTGCAGAGGCAGGTACTGTGTGCCTGTGTGCAGCATCAGTGACCTCTGTGTGGTACACAGAGAGCTGCAGGACCTACGGTTTGAACAGTCCAGCTGATCAGGAGAGGCATCTGCCAGATAACTGCCACTTTCCCTCCACGTGTGGTGCAAGAAATGCGGGCAATGTGTTGGGAATCTTGCACGTCCCTCCTGGCCCCCAAGTGGGTGCTGAAAGCATGCAGTGAAGTGACTGCACACTGGTTCCAGGGAAATAACAACACCCTGTTGTTGATGCTGCAATGTACAGCGGTGTAATGTGTGTGCAGGAGGCTTTGTGAAGCCCTTGATTTGTGCTGACAGGTGATGGGAGATGCATCGGCTCCAAGGCTGAGCGCTGACATGTGTGAACTGTGTTTTAATGTTTTAGGAAGTTGGATACCAGTCCTGAAGACTCCCTGTGCTCTGCCAAGGGGCAGAAACTGTCAGAGAAGGGTGGACAGGACATTGGGTGGCCGTTCTGCACACTTACGTGGTGGTGGCACGTGTTTCTGAATGGGAGCTGTTTTGCAGTGATGATAAATGAGCCCTAATCCATCACATCAGCTTAGGGTTTATATGATGATTGTTCCTGAAAATTCCAGCCTGCTTGTTCTCGCTTTTCCAAATGAAGAGAAGTGGTTAAAATTATTGTTTAGTGCAAGAAAGCAGTCCTTAATGATTAGTAAAGATTTTACCGTGAGTCTTTCTTTCCCTGAGATCTGAATATTCTGCAAATCAAGCCTTTGTGCATTTTTAAATGTAATGCATCTTCCTCTATAAAAGTTATTTTTTATCTATGAAGGTGAAATATTTGAAGATTGAAGTCGCATGAAGATAAGTCTGACTATGCAGTAATTTTCTCTGATGTACAACTACTGATTTTTGGTCAGTGTGTTAAGAATTGCAAGCATATACTGAGATAAGCCAAACATGATGCTGTTACCAAACATCTGCACAGGCAAATAGCTTACCTACAGATGTGCTGCATTTCTGTTTGTCAGATGATTGCATACTAAGTGGCAACTTCCCATACTGAAAAGCTGCATTTGTTATGGGGTTTATTTACATCCATTCCTTTGTTGTCATGGGCTTTCCCCTGGCCCAAATTAAGCTGCAAAATCTCTGCAGCTCATCTTCTGTTCAGTAGCATTCTGTGACTCTGGTTTATTTTTTTCTTACAGCTCCAACTATAAATTCAAACTTTTTCCCAGCAACTCGGTCAGACGCGGAGCCTGTGAGCAGATGGTGCCCTTGTATTCAGTTGTTCTGATTTTTGTCCTTCCTGCAACTGGCGATGTTGGTTCCATGGATCTGTGTTTCACCTGTAGGGCAGGTTGTGAAGGCGCAGGTGAAATTGTGGGTAGCCTTAGCAGGATCCTTCTGCTCCCCAACCCCAGGGAAACGTACGTGGCCGGGCAGGGCTGTGGTGGTCCTTTGTGCTAAAGTGGGGTGTCCTCAGTGTCGTCTCTTCCGTTCTGCCCTGCTGTCTGCGCTCCGAGTTCTGGCGATGCGGTGGCCTTGCACAGCATGCCTAGCAAGGACTTTCGAAACGACTTGCAAAGGAAGAAGTAAATGAATGGATCTAGGCAAGCGTTCAGCGATGTCAGCCACAGCGTGCTCTCCTTTAAGTAAAACAGGGTGTTCACTGCAGAGCAGTCAAAAACATTTCTTGTTTGGCTCAAAGTGTAGGGAATTCTGGTGAAGTGGAATGGCGCAAAACAAATAAAGAACACTGCGATTATGATGAAAACCTTCAGATTTACAGATTTTCTGGATGGTCTTCCTGTGGATCTTGTCCTCTGATAGGACTTATACAGTTCTTTGCTCATGAGTATGTAGCATACAACTATGACTGCTAAATTAACCCAGAAGATAAGTTGGCAGATGTAGTTTACGATTTCATGCCAGACTAAGCCAAACTCAGATTTCAAGAGGGCACACTTTTTTACGTTCTTAGGTGTTTTTTTCTTGTTTGTTAGAATCATGTTGGGTAATGAAAGAGTAAACATCGATATCCAAATAGCCATGGAGAGGATCTTGGCGCCTCGAAGGCTCCTTGTGGTTGATGTTCTGAATGGCGAGGTGGCTTTCTGGTAGCGGTCGATGGTTATCAGCCCGAGGAACAAGATGCTGATGTACATGGTGAAGTAAAACACGACCTGGCTGACCTGGCACACAAATCCTCTCAGCACCCACGGTACCAACTGTGCGTCGCTGAGGATTTTAAATGGAAAAGTCAGAATCATGAGGATGTCAGAAATGACAGTATTCTTGAGGAAGATGATGAAATTGGATTTACTTGATATTTTGAAGAAGATCCATGTTGCCAGGCCATTCATAGTGAGACCCACCAGGAAGAGAAGAGTATAAAGCAAGGGGAAGATGACCTGTCTGATTCTGTTATCGCTGGTGCAGTTGCTACCATTGATAGAGTAGCTGAAGTTGCTTGTGGCTTTTGCTTGCATTTCGTCTTCTCCACCCTCCTTCTGAAAAACAAAAACAAAAGAAGAAGAAAAGTAAGGAACAGTGAAGCTGGAGATGATGCCTTTTCTGATTTCAGTCTTCTTAGTCTGTTTCTCATTTTTATACAGGGAGTATTTCTGTTGGACTTTGCCACCTGCGCTGCTTTCCTGTGAGGTTGGAGCAGGCAGTGCTGGGCATGGCCGTGCCGAGGGAACTGCTGCCCTGCTCTGTTGGGTCCTGCCTGGCAGGGGCTGTGAGGAGGCGTGGGGTAGGATGGGCAGAGGCCTGCTGCTGTGATGGGCTGCGGGGCTGCCAGCCCCAGCTGGGTGCCGCCTGCTGTGCCCTGTGGGGCCTGTGGCAGCGGCTACCTGAAGGTGTGCTCTGATCCAAGGAGAAAGGCAAGCATCTTTTTCCTCGTCCTTAATGTGGAAAAGAGGGAGCAGCGGAACTCCTTCTGGGTGCGCATTTGGTAGGGAGAGACCTATGTCAATGTAATGCCCTTCTTGCTTCTCTTGCCCCAGCCCCACTGTCGGATACCTTCAAGGCCATCTCTACCATTCCCCCCACACATCCCCCAGACGCAGGGACGCCCACTTGCCCTGCAGGTTCCCGGTGTGGGTTTGGGGCCAGGAGACAGCTGTGGCAGCCGGGCACTGCAGGCTGCCTGGGAGAGGGGGCTGGCGGTGCCCTGCAGCTGAGATGTCAGCACTGACATCGGGGTGTTGCTGCGGCAGGTGCACGTTTGCCAGCATGGTCTGTGAAGGCTTTCGTAGCTTTGCTTGTATAGGAATTAATTTACAGCATCACAGCTAGTTTTTCCTGTCGCTTTTCTAAATCGGCTGTTCTGCCCAACGTGGTACTGCAGGAAGCACCGACCCGCGGTGTGGAGCCGCGCCGCACTGCGGGCGCTGCGGCCACCAGCACGTGGAGCTGGCCGGCCGCGCTGTGCCGGCGGGGGGGCGCCGTGCGTCCTCACAGGGGCCGCTTTTCGGGTGCACGGCGATGCCGCTGCAGTGAGCGCGGTTGGCTGGGGTGAGCTCTGTCTTGGGAAGCAAGGTCAGCCTCAGATCCGGCTGCCGCGTCCAGTCCTAACAAAGCAAGGATTCCCCAGGCTGCAAGATCAGAAAGCAAGCAGAAATCAGAGGGGATTACCGTAGCGTGCTGCCGTGCTGGGTTGCTGCGGCTCCTGGTGCAGCAGCAGCGCTCTGAGACGCCTGGAGCTGGGGGGCCTCAGGTGCTGCAGTGCCGGGCTGCTGGCGGGCAGGGTCTGGCTCCTCAGCCGGGAGGACAGCTGCTGATCCCGGGTGGCGCCATCAGCGCTTCTGCTTTTGTTTCCTCCAGAACAGAGAGAGAAATAGAACTTTCTATATAATTAGAGGCTTACTTCCTACTTTTGACCTACAGATAGAGCTGCTGTTTTTAAAGGAGATCGTATCGTGTATTCTGTAAGCTGGCACAGCTTTCCTGAGCGTGGAGTTGTGCTCCCATCGCTGTGCCTTGTGATTTGTGCAGAACCTATTTGTTAGCACTTTCGTATGCAGCCCTCCTTGTTTGAAAACTGAATGGTCTCATGGTGCAAAGAGAAGCAGTGATTGGAGAAGGTGATTTTATGTTATAATTCAAAAATATTTACACCTTCTATAATTTGCTGAGCAGTTCTTCCAGTTTTAAAGTTATGAATTTGGCATCAACTTTGTGTGATACATGGTAGTAGAAGACTAAATGTAACTAGTTAGAGTTCCAGTCAACTATACACACGTCAGTTTCTTTTGCATTTACAAAATACTGTCTTAAGAGTTGGACAGCATCTTCTTTTTAGTGGGGTTGTACATAGAGAGAAGTGAGGAGCAGCTGGTGGACCTCAGTGCTGCCTGTCGTGGGGCTGGGGGTGGGCATGGTGTGTGTCTCCTGGGCCTGTGTTCGTAGGTCCCTGCGGGATGTGTGGTCCCAGATGACATCTGTTCCTCTGTGTTCTGAACCTGGCCGTTCAGTGATTTCGCTTGGTGCTGTTTCCTCTGCAGTGATAATCGCAGGAGATGCTTTTTGCAATAAATGTTCAGTATTGCTTGTTGCAGTTTGGGCTGCTGGGCTTCTGCAAGTGATGACAAAACAGTGATGAAAGACTTCACTCCTCCTGCTCTTTTCAGGATGAATCTTCAAGTCATGAGTGTAACCAGCGCATGATTCTCCTCTATGGTGTTGGCAAGGAGCGTGATGAAGCAAGACATCAGCTGAGGAAGATTACCAAAGACATCCTGAAGATTCTGAATAAGAAGAGTACTACTGAAATGGGTGGTAAATGCTTTCACACTGCTGCCTGGTAGCCCGTAGCAGAGATGATGGGAGCTGTGCAGCCCCAGCATGAGGTGCAGCCTGCTGCCCTGCCCTGCTCAGCGTTATGGCAGCCAGGCTGGCTGCACCGGTGTGGGGATAAAGCCTGGAGTTTGGTGCTCTGGCCAGGCAGCAATACGCATTGCTTGTCTTCCTAGCAAAACAGTGTGACCGTTTTTCAGTTGTTATTGAATGTCACCTTTTTTGCACTGATGACCTTAATGTAGCTTTCACATTGTTACGTGGGAAAACTGAGGGAAGAAGGATTTTATGTAGTCATAAGTGATGTTTTTACTGTTAAATGTCTTACAAAGCAATAGTAATGCATAGCTACAAGGGCTCCACTGAATATAAAGTGACCAAAATAATCTTTTATCTGTTAAGTTGGGGATGAAGGACAAAAGGCCAGGAAGAACAAACAAGAAGCATTTCCAACTCTAGAGACTGTGTTCACAAAACTACAGCAGCTGTCATATTTTGACCAACATCAGGTGACATCTCAGGTACTTCCCTTACATAAAATTGTGGCCTGTTGTGTTCTGCTGTAGAGTTATCAATTAGGGGACAAATCTGGGTTTTTAAGAAGTGTTTTATATATGCTAGGAGTATCACTGCTTCTTTTAAGGTAAGAGAAGAAAGTGCTGTGTTGGTATTTAAAAATGCTGCTTCTGTGGGTATTTCTTTGTTTTGTTGGGATGCTTTTGTTTGCATTTACTGTGTTTGTTTGTTTGTTTGCAAGAAACTTTCGGGGTTATTATAGATTTGATTTTTTTAGTTGAAAATGTGGAAGTCAATTTTACGTTTCAGCTAATGGCTTTGTTTAGGGCTCATTGGTAAATTAGGTTTTACCAGCCAATCTCTTGCATATGTGTAAGGTCTGTTCCTGCATTTGTGTGAAGGATGGTGAGCTCATCTGCGTGTTTGTGCAACCTTGAGTACATCTGTGGAAAACAGCTGGATAATACAGTTTGTTCGTCCCTTGCTGTTAAAACTGGTACTCAGCCTTTGCTATTAACAAGCTGTCTTAGCAGCTGAATGGAGATCAGAAACAACTTCCTTGAGTGCTTGGTGCTCCTGGCGTCTGTCTGGACCCACCTGCCCATGTCTGGGCACAGGCTTTCCTCACTTCCAGCTGTTACTGTTTCAAAGTGTTTCTGATATCCTGAGAGCAGCCTAGGAAAAGACTAACAGTGAATGACTGATATTTAATTTGTAACACATCTTCAGTGCTTTTCTTCGGAATGAATTTAATACACATTATGTTTGCAGGGTGAAGTGTGAGTTGTTATCGCTGCACAAAAATCACAGTTCCATAGGTTGGAAAAAGAGATTTGGACTCTCTTTGAAACAAAAATTGCATTTTAAAAACAGGTATTTGTCAAGAGGAGTTTGACCCTCAGCTATGAAGCAGCAAACCAGTATTTTCTGCATGATCACTGTCGAAAATATAGCAGCATTATATCTGACTTGCAGAATAGTAGAGTAACATACAGACTCTGTGGTTGTACATGATTTGTTGTTGCTGTTATCTACAGAGTGCTGTCACTTGCTATTAGCAGTCACAAAGCAGGATTTTTGGAGCACTAGCGTGTTTGAGGAGCCCTTGGATGTCATACAGCCTTTCAACTTCTATTTTCACAGATCTCCAGCAACGTTCTCGAACAAATAACTAGTTTTGCCTCAGGAACATCCTATCACCTCCCCTTGGCTCACCACATACAGCTGATCTTTGATCTCATGGAGCCAGCGCTGAATATCAACGGACTGATAGACTTTGCAATACAGGTAAAAAGAGTTTGTTTTAAGAATGGATGCATCAGGACACAGCTGCGATGCGCATAGTGTGAAACCAGAAGGAAAAAAGTGCTGTACAGCACATTCTTCTGGTCTGCTGCTGTGTGCTTTCCTCTATTTCAGTTTCCTAACCTCTAAAACAGCATGCCAGATACTTCCCCTCCTGCCTGTTTTTGACTGTTACAGACAAAGGCTAGCTGTACTTTTTTTGGTAATTAATAAAAATCTGGATTCTCTTAACATAAGATATTTTCATATGGGCTTCACAGTTTTAGGCTCAAGCATCTTGTTACACAGCAAAGCATTTGGGTGGCGGAAATGCTGTTTGCTTCTGAAAAACAGTTCTGAGGAGCACGTTCTGTACTTCACAGTTCAGTTGGCTGCCTCTTTCCCTCGTTCTTTGGCAAACAAAGAATTCCATTTTGGTTTGCCGTTTAGTTTTTCCTTAATTGTTTTTTAGCCCCTGTTTTACATGTCGGAAGTTGTTCTCAGTTGATTGTTCTGGTGTGTTGTCAGCTGCTGAACGAGCTGAGTGTGGTGGAGGCAGAGCTGCTGCTGAAGTCATCCAGCCTGGCAGGGAGCTACACCACAGGGCTGTGCGTGTGCATCGTCGCCGTCCTGCGGCGTTACCACGCCTGCCTCATTCTCAACTCGGAGCAAACTGCACAAGTCTTTGAAGGGTTTGTGGCAGCTCATTTCCTGAAAGTATTTCTGTTGTTATTTTTAAATAAGATCTGTGTTTAGGTTCAGGTGGGGAGGCTGAGCAGTGCACGGCGCTGTGAGCTGCAGCAGCGGCCCTTGCTGAAAGGCTGCAAGCCGGCTTGGAGCCACGCTGAGCCTGGTGTGAGTGGCTCACCTCTGCAGCCTGCTCCAGCCAGTGGGACCTCACCCCTGGGAGCGCGGCAGATGGTGGGAGCTGGGTCTTGATTTGCTGCCCTCTTGCTCGGTTGTCCCCAGCACCTCTGTATCCCCTCCTCTGGCACCCACGTAGCTCACAGGTGGCACCAAATTCACGTGGGCCCCATCAGTCTGTGCACGCAAGGCTTGCCATCACCCTGCCAACAAGGGGTTTTGTGACATGTAACGATACGAGATGTGGTGGGATGAACTCGGAATGGTTTTATCTTTGCAGGTTGTGTGGAGTGGTGAAGCATGTTGTTAATCCCTCAGAGTGTTCCTCCCCAGAAAGATGTATTTTGGCCTACCTCTATGACCTGTATGTGTCCTGCAGCCACCTGCGAAGCAAGTTTGGAGACCTCTTCAGGTGAGTTCTACTGGGATCGTTCCTCGCCTGCTGCAGACTCCTGGGCTTTCAGTTCAGTTTGCTTTCTGTGGAAAATGCGCCGCCATCTCTGCAGCTTTACCTTTATGGGTACAGTCCTCCCGCCTGTGCTCCGTGCAGCAGAGCAGTGCTGCTGTAGGTGCTGCAGCTGCCCTGGAGGAGCAGTGGCAGGGATCTGCTCTGCTCGGCAGCGCAGTGAGGGCATGGGGCGAGGTGGGAGGCAGTGGTGCTGCACAGCTTTGCCCTTCCCATGCCTCCACTTCTCAGGGTTCGTGGAGCCGATTTGCTGCGGCGTAGTGCTGACCTGTAAGGCTTTAGTGATCGGCTGTAGTTACAGCGCGGGACAGAAAATAGCAAACTCTGGGTTGGCACAGCTCTGCCATTCTGTTAAATATTTCTTTGATGTGGAGAGAGACACAAACATGTTGGAGTTTGTGAAGTTTTGTGCTCCGTTGTTCAGTTCCTTGATTTTTTAATTAAAATAATACTTTAGATAGTCATATGCTGTATTTATGGCTCTTACTTTTTAAAGGGGGATGGAAAGCCTTTCAAATGCAAGTATGTGCCTTGTGAGAGTGACAAACCATCCCTGTTACTGTTTCCCCTCCTAAGTTATACACCTGGATTTGAGCTGTGTGTTTCAGATTTGTGGGCTTTGTTTCATGGTGAGCAAGAGCAGAGTTCTCAGTAATAATTTTTCAACGAGTTTATGAGCATGTGGGAATAGTGGTATTTAGTTTGAGAAACAATAGGAAAATGAAACTAAAGAACTACAGAAACGTATTAGATGTGTGGTCATTCTTCTACCTAAAATCTGAAGTTCACTAATTCAAGAAACATCCTACCCTGCAACAGAAATTCAAATTGTCATCTAATAATCCAGAGATATTTGGGATAT